AAGTTTGTAAAAAAACACCAAACGGTTTCTGCTTCCGCACCGGAAACTAAGGAAAATTGGATTGCCGGCGGAAATGTCGAGGTTCTTGTCAATTTGGTTAAAAGCCTTTTAATTCAATCATGGCTGGACGCTTTACTTCGTCTTCCTACTAATAAGCAAATATAGAGCGCAAATAGTGACGAGGCCCGTTAAACCATGAAGCCTCTGAAGCTCCAGCCAAAAGGCATATGTTATGGAGAAAATCGTGGCCAAACCTTTAGAACCAATTTAGTAGTAAATCTGCACTGTGGATCAAGAGGGAAAATCGCTTTGCATTTGTAAATATTGCTTCCTTTAATAGTAGTTGAAGCGAACCAGCAATAAAACAGCAAAAACCGGGAACATGATTGTACATTTTGCGATGTGAAGGAAACCGTCTAATTTCCTTGAAGCTGTTTGGAGCCAATTTACATTTAACTCCTTCTGACTGGGAGATTTCCGTTCACTGAATCCCCGATTAAACAGTGACTGCTATTGCAAATTGCCTTTTATCGGCCTTGCGGACAGCCCTAAACAGTTAGTGAAAATTGCATGTTCAAATTTCACTTTCTAATTTCCCGACTTGAGATTTACACGCCCGTTTAGCGGCCTTCATCCTAATCTGGGGGCGAAATGTTCGAGAAATTATTGTAGTGGAAGGAGAAGAAAATATGCACTACGCACCTTAATCTTAAGAATAGTCTTTATCGCAACAATAGGGGGGTTTTCATAGTATCAACAAAAATTCCTACAAACTGAACATTAATCTATGCTAATTTATACGCATGAAGGATTAAATAAGTTGATGCTATCAATCGATTGCTATTTTGTTAAATATTTAATAAACAAATTCGGCTAAAATTCAACTTATTCATGAGTCTCTAAAACGCGATCCCATTGGTTGTGACGTCTCTGGTCATATAAATGGCGGGTTGTTCACGTTCTGTGCATAGTGTCTAGTTGTGTGGTTGTGTTTCATTAATTATTTTGTCGATTTAAATTATTTATAGTTCGTCGTAAACTAAAAAATCGCTTCAGAAGGATTGCTTAAAGCGTCAATCACCAATTTAGCATGTGCATATTTTTATGCTTACCAAATTGTTAAAAAACTACGAACGCCTTAATTCAGCCGAATTTAAGGGTGTCAAAGCAGCAGCGTAAGTAAAAATCCGTAAATCCATCATTAATTTATCTCTCCTTAATATGCTAATCTGTCTGTATTGGTTTAAATTAGGCAAATAATATATAGAATTTCACTTATTCAACTTAACCTAACCTATACACATGGCTGCTTTAAAAGTGAAATGAACTCTTAAGTACGATCGAAGACATATTCTGTCTTCCTCATCATTAGCTTTTTGTTCGTACTTTCATTAAAATGATCCTCACAACAAAAAACCATTGATTTTGATCAATAGAATAATGATAATCACCATAACTTAAATAATAAAACAAAGCTGCGAAAACAACGAAATAAACTCAAGACTTTGTTGATATGACCTGCTGCGTCACAATCGGGATAGGCAACCGACGATACGGATTCGGCGTTTTTGGCGGAAAATATCTGATTTCAATTTGAATTCGCTTTAAAATTATTGTAGAGACTTTTTTGCCAAAAAAGTTAATCACTGTACTTTCTATACATCAACATAAAAAAAAAGTGAAAACACCCTATTCTATCGAATGTTCTTGCAACCCAAACGGGTCTTCTACCAAATGAATTAACGGGTTTGAAAAATTAAACAGCTTTTGCAGCTCTGAGTTGTTCGCACACCCTGTTTATCATAATAAAAGCTCGCAGTGTTCGTTTAATGGGTTTAATGGGGGTTTTTAGGTCCATAAATCCTTCACTTTTAATAAGCGCTCAGAATGTGCGGAAAATGTTCGACACGTGTATGTGAGAAGCAAAATTGCATCGCCGCTAAGTCTTAAATTATTTATTAATCGACTGAAACATTTACATCAAATTCTGTCCCCGAGAGATTAACTAATTGTGCAAACTAAACCGTGATGAGCCTTTTGGCATCAGCAGGAAATAACTAAATCCTGCTGGTTTGCGTGGAAAAGCCTTCCATTGATCAGTCACTGAAGCCAGGCGGAGCACAGTGTGAAAACAAAATTCTTGTTCAGAAACGCCCTGTCTGAAGATGGAGTCAACTGTTTCGGATGAAATTGGGCGCGAGTATACTTGACCTCTAATGGGGGGCAAATTGATGAGGAAATCGAATGTTTTACCCTTTAAATTCGTTGATATTTTTCTAGCAACGAAGAGTTTTTTTGGGCAAACAATGTTGCCCAAAAATATCAGCACAAAGCGTGTTCGGATTATGATTTTTCCGGAACAATCGATTGAAATCCGAAAAACGTGATTTTTGGCGAAAAAATGGCTATTGTTTCATTTTGTTGTTAAACTCTTCAGTATTCACAGACAATTTTATTAAAGTATTTATAAATAAAACTAGCAAATGTCAAATTATTTTCCGATGCAACTGCGGGAATCCCAGAAAATTACGGATTTTTTCGCACAAAAAATGATCCTGTAATTTGAATTATGCTAAATATTACTTTAGAAAATCTTATGATAGTTAAACAATTGCCCGTAAAAACTATTAAATGCGATGTTAGATTCCGACAAAATTGCAGAAAAATACGGGAAAACCCTGATTTCCATAGATTGACTACAGAACTAATTATTTTCAGTGTATAAATTGCGTCAGAGTCGACAGTCGACGTCATTACGTTTCGGCGAGACAACAGCGCCATCATCAGATTTAAAATTTACACAAACTCATAATTGGTAAACATTACGTTCGTTTAGGTCTTTGCG